CAACCGCGTAAAAACTCAACTAACGAGGAGGATAACTACAACGTGGATGAATTAAAAGGAGATGAGGTGAAGAGTTGACTGTTTGTTTAAATCGAAAGGAGAGCAATGCGCTTCGGTGGCAATAGTTGTCGAATTTTAGACATTTACACACGCGTGTACACCCCCCCTTTAGTCGAACCCGCGGTGATCGATGGTTCAGTCCGTGGGCGCGTGACTCGCGAGCAGCTGATCGGTCACGTGACGTTGTTTTCGAGCACGCGAGTGTTGGTTTCAGCGCTACGTATAATTATTTATTATTAATGTTGTTTGGATCTTATTCTTGGTTCTTTCGGTAAGGTCACGTAGAAGGGAAATAATAAAATAATAAAATTAAAACAATAAAATACACGTATTCTTGGTTCTTTCGGTAAAGTCACGTAGAAGGGAAATAATAAAATAATGGAAATAAAACAATTAAATACACGTATTCTTGGTTCTTTCGGTAAAGTCACGTAGAAGGGAAATAATAAAATAATGAAAATAAAACAATAAAATACACGTATTCTTGGTTCTTTCGGTAAAGTCACGTAGAAGGGAAATAATAAAATAATGAAAATTCAAACAATAAAATACACGTATTCTGGGTTCTTTCGGTAAAGTCACATAGAAGGGAAATAATAAAATATTTAAAATAAAACAATAAAATACACGTATTCTTGATTCTTTCGGTAAAGTTACGTAGAAGGGAAATAGTAAAATAATAAAAATAATAAAACAGTAAAATACACGTATTCTTGTTTCTTTCGGTAAAGTCACGTAGAAGGAAAATAATATAATAAAAATAAAACAATAAAATACACGTATTCCTGGTTCTTTCGGTAAAGTCACATAGAAGGGAAATCATAAAAAAAAACAATTAAATTCTCACGAAAACCACACCTGATGGATGATAAAATTCTCACGACGTTTCGATTGCAACACAAGCAATCGTCATCAGGTGTGGTTTTCGTGAGAATTTTATTGTTTTTTTATTATTATTTCCCTTCTACGTGTCTTTACCGAAAGAACCAAGAATATGAATCCCTGCAGTTACGAAAGCTTTAAATCGAAAAGTTGTACGATCTGCTAACGTCTATATTAGTTACTTTATGATTGTGCTCGTTTACCCACGAAAGCATCACAGAGCCTCAAGAGTTTTCGCACTCGGAGACGTTGCTGCTGCTGCTATTGGGCCGTCCATAAATGACGTCACGCACCTAGGGGGGGGGGGGGGGGTCAGACATTTGTGACGATGTGTGACGAGGGGGGGGGGGGGAGGGTTAAATGTGACGTCACATCAAAATGCGCAACTTTAAATACATATAGACAACACGTTCTACTTAATTAAATAGACTTTCTAATAAATGTTTTCTCCTACAACATCAGAGTGCAGAGCCGCATTAAATACGCACTACAATGACAATGGTTTAAAGCGATTTGAACCATGTTTTATTTTTTTTGGGGGGGGGGGGCAGAGCTTTGTGACGTCATATTTGAGGGGGGGGTCTGACTTTTTTGTGACGCCGTGTGACGAGCGGGCAGGGGGGGGTCAAAAATCGTCCAAAATCGCATGACGTCATTTATGGACGGTCCCTATGTGTGTGTGTGGGCGCCGTGGTGGCGAGCTGTTAACTACCTCGCCTGGTATACAGGAGATCGTGGGTTCGATCCCGACCCTGACGCCTGCTGCTGTGTATTTTGAGTTTGCGTGTCTCTCTCTCTCTACCCCTGGTCTCTTGGATTTTTCTACGAGTTTTCCCTCCACATTTACAAACGTGCGCTTAGAGCATTTGGTTGCTATAAATTCCCACGTGATATGCCACTGCGTTGAGCTATCCCAATTAGAGTCATTTGCAGACGATGTCTCTCGGCATTCCCATGCGATTTGTCCACTTCCTGTTCCACTGTGGGTGAGGGTTTAGCTGTGGTTTGACCACTACCAGTTAACACTGTGGGGTGTGGGATTCGCTATGGGAGGAGGAAACCAGAGGACCATGCAGAACAGGTGGAGAGAACGCACAGACTCCAGTTCCGATTTAAAGCTTTCGTGACTGCAGGGATTCATCTTCTTGGTTCTTTCGGTAAAGTCACGTAGAAGGGAAATAATAAAATAATAAAATAAAACATTATAAAATCATTCTCACGACGTTTCGGCCACAATGCTGTCTTTCCGACAGACCTGTTCTTCACCTGAGGACGGCTGCTTGCATTGTGGCCGAAACGTCGTGAGAATTATTTTATAATGTTTTTATTTTTATTATTTTATTATTTCCCTTCTACGTGATGACTTTACCAAAAGAACCAAGAGGAAGACTCCGATTCATCTATTAGGTACTAGCTGTACTCCCCAGTGGCAATGTTCACACACCACACCAGCTACTCGTTTGAGGCTGAGTCGACCTAGGGGAGGCCCAGGAGCGGTTAAAATAATCGTCACCGGTGGTGGCCGTGAGCGGGATTCGAACTCGGGTCGCCGGGTTCGTAGCGCGGCGCGCTACCCACTACACTACAATGCGTTACGCTTCCACGTGCGCGGGTCACGTGACAGATGTGACGTCACAACTCACTTGCTGTGCAAAATTATATGCATTATTTAGCTCCCCCCCCCCCCCCCCCCAAAAAAAGTATAATTTTATAATGTTTGCATGGTGTACAGTCTGGAAAGTACCCACATGGCAAATTTCAAGTTTGTCGCATGTCGGGAAGTACGCTAAACATTTTGAACAGACACATTCACAACGTTGCCTTGTATATTTATGGAGATAGCCCTGTGAGCCATGCGGCTCTTGACTCGGGTGCAGCCGCAACAAAAAAAACATGAACAAACATGAACAAACAACAGACGTGAGAAAATCTTGACTTAAAGCTTTCGTGACTGCAGGAATTCACAGACTCCACACTCGCTTAAAATCAAACTCTTTTGCTCACACACATGTCTACCGAAGGGGATGAAAGCATACAAACTCCATTCCACACACAATCACGCCCACACACAATAATACACAATCATTCACACACAATAATACACAATCATTCACACACATAATCACGCTCACACACAAAATCATACACAAGCACTCACAATCACACGTAAAATCACACTCATACACACAATCACGTTCAACAACAACAACAACGGCCATTCGCCACTAAGTGGCGGTGACGTCACCACGACGCTTGTGCCAGGCCATGTGCACCTTGAGGTCACGTGAAGTGTCGAACGCCCGCTGGCAGGAGGTCACGGGGCAGACCCAGCAGGTGCCACGGGTCGACTGACTGAGATGACCGACATAATCGCACACAATCACACAATCACTCTCACACAATCACAAACAAAGACAACGATCCCCCGCATAGCCTTCGGCTGTTGGGGCAAATGTTCGCGAGTACCTATGTCGACCTTCATAGGCGCTCGCTAACAGCCCTTGCCCCAACAGTCTGTTAAGGCTATTAAGAGGGTGGGGCTGGGTGGGGAGGGTTGGGAGGGGCTGGGTGGGGAGGGTGGGGAGGGTTGGGAGGGGCTGGGTGGGGAGGGTGGGGAGGGTTGGGAGGGGCTGGGTGGGGAGGGTGGGGCTGGGTGGGGAGGGTTGGGAGGGGCTGGGTGGGGAGGGTGGGGCTGGGTGGGGAGGGTTGGGAGGGGCTGGGTGGGGAGGGTGGGGCTGGGTGGGGAGGGTGGGGAGGGGCTGGGTGGGGAGGGTGGGGAGGGGTTGGGTGGGGAGGGTGGGGCTGGGTGGGGGGTGGGAGGGGAGGGGCTGGGTGGGGAGGGGCTGGTCACCCCGTGGTGCCCTTATAAAACTCAACGTTTAACCTACTCACGCCGGCTTGTGCCCGCCCTCACAGTCGGGCATATTTGCGGAATACACCACGCCGCCGTTGACCCTGGCCATTGACCGAGCAACCCAACGTTCCTACCAGCTCCCTCCGCAGGAATGTGTTTTTTAGTAGCGACCTGCCTATCACAAGTTATAGCTCAATGAAGTGGCTTATCATAATGCAGTGGTAGCACATAAGCACAAACAAAACTCAACACGTTCCCTCTCAAAATAACACCGGTGTGTGCGGCCTTAAAACTATTTTAAAATAATGTGCGATTTACATATAATGTAGTGCTTTTGACAAACGTGTTAAGATTAGTTACTATTGTATATACGAATACGGCACATTATTGTACAGTATACGCTTGACCTGCATATATAATGCCAAATATATATTACCAGAGCATGTTTTTGTTTACATGTTCATCACCAGTACCGCGTGTGGTTTAATGCAGACTGATGTTTGAACATTTTCACACCTTCATGTTTTATTGCTACAAAGGTTAAACCCAATCCTTATTCCTAACTACGTGGCTTCAACGAAAGATCCAAATAATAGTCCTTATCAAGGCCGTAATTATAATTTTTATGTTGGGGGGGGGGGGGGGTCACATTCCCCCCAATATTCAAATATCCTCAAAATGCCCCCCCCCCCCCAATACATTGCTATAATTTTTTTTCGCAATGCTATGTAAATAAAAACAACAATTTGCTAAACCTTGGCCACAATATCTGGACTTGTCTTCATATAAATGAATGCATAGATTTATGTTCATATGATTGTAGTTACGGTTGTACTTTATCAATCCCTAATCTCTGCCATTACATACAATGAATCAAAAAAGTGTCAAAAAAAAGTTAAAACATAGCAATGTAATACAATACACTATTAGACATTATTGTAAAAAAATAAATTAAAAAAATCCATCCCATGTGTTAGTGAATTTTTTTTATATTTTAGTCAGGAAATTAGTTTTCAAATTTAGATTTTTTTTCTGGGGCCCCCCCCCCCCCCACACTTCTACCCCCACCCTCTTTCCTCCCTACGCAAGATGGCGACCGAAGTGCGTCACCGAGGGTGACGTCACCAAATAAATGCGCGGTGATTGTCCCCCCCCCTCCACCCCCCGGGGGGCGCGGCCGCTTCACCTCCCGAGTGTGCCCGTGTACTTGCGCGGCCACCGCCATCGTTCCGCGGTGCTCGCGAAAATAAGTCCGCTTCGTGTCCGACGTCAAAATCCTCTCCCGCGGACCCCACAGACCCTGCCCACAGCCGTCACACGTTTGCCGGAACGATCGTCGACTTCTTTAGAAACTTTTGATTTCTTCACGAAACTTTTTTTTTTTTCAAATCGATGTTTTACTCCAGAGGTGAGGAGATGTCGATCACCGCCCCCACCCACCACCCACCACCACCGCGATCGATTCTAATCGATTGGGGCTTAACGATAAGAGATCGATTATTCGCGTCGCGAGTTCGGTTACGTCCGTGTCGCCTTTTTATCTTCTCGTCTCACTCAGCTCGGCTGTTGTCCCCCCCCCCTCATCATCCTCCCCCTCATCCCACATCATCATCTTCCTCGTCCTCATCCTCCTCCTCCTCCCTCATCATCATCATCCTCCATCATCCTCCTCCTCTATCATCCTCCTCCATCCTCCTCCTCTTCCTCCTCCATCATCATCATCCTCCTCCAACCTCCTCCTCCATCATCATCATCCTCCTCCAACCTCCTCCTCCATCATCATCATAATCCTCCATCATCATCATCCTCCAACCCCCTCCTACATCATCCTCCTCCAACCTCCTCCATCATCATCATCCTCCTCCAACCTCCTCCTCCATCATCATCATCCTCCTCCAACCTCCTCCTCCATCATCATCATAATCCTCCATCATCATCATCATCCTCCAACCCCCTCCTACATCATCCTCCTCCAACCTCCTCCTCCATCATCATCATCCTCCTCCAACCTCCTCCTCCATCATCATCATAATCCAGTCCATCATCATCATCATCCTCCAACCCCCTCCTACATCATCATCATCCTCCCCCTCATCCCACATCATCATCTTCCTCGTCCTCATCCTCCTCCTCCTCCCTCATCATCATCATCCTCCATCATCCTCCTCCTCTATCATCCTCCTCCATCCTCCTCCTCCTCTTCCTCCTCCATCATCATCATCCTCCTCCAACCTCCTCCTCCATCATCATCATCCTCCTCCAACCTCCTCCTCCATCATCATCATCCTCCTCCAACCTCCTCCTCCATCATCATCATACTCCTCCATCATCATCATCCTCCAACCCCCTCCTACATCATCCTCCTCCAACCTCCTCCATCATCATCATCCTCCTCCAACCTCCTCCTCCATCATCATCATCCTCCTCCAACCTCCTCCTCCATCATCATCATAATCCTCCATCATCATCATCATCCTCCAACCCCCTCCTACATCATCCTCCTCATCCTCCTACATCATCCTCCTCATCCTCCATCATCCTCATCCTCAATCCTCCATCCTCCTCCTCCATCATCATCATCCTCCTTCATCCTCCTCATCCTCCGCCTCCTCCTCCATCCTCATCCTCATCATCCTCCTTGGCTTCATCGCACGGAGGAGCAGTCGGATCGATGGGGGGGGGGTGCTGTCGACGCGTGATTATCGATTATCGATAACGAGGGCGATGGTGGGGAATGCCTCACAGGGGTTATTCCCCTTATTCTTGTAACAGGGACATTGCGTTTTCAGGTCCAGACGACGTACAGACGTTTCAATACAAGCTGTCTATTTGTGTTTCTACCTTGTGGTGATGGACTTTGTAGGATGAACGTTGAGATTATAAGGGACTCTGTAGGGCACTAATAAGGGGTTGACAGCTATGGAATGAGCAACTTTTGTTTAAAAAGAAATATTTCGCTGGTCATGTCCCAACCGCGTTGTTGTCGCTTAAACCCCGCGGGCAAGGCCCTCTGAGCTGTGCAGATATTTTTCAGAAGCGACCTGGCCACAAATAATAGCTCAACGAAGTGGCTTATCATGTTTCATTTCAGTTTTCAGTTTCATTTATTTGGTATAGCCCTGTGAGCCATTCGGCATCTTGAATCGGGTGCAACCGCAAACAAACAAAAAACTAAAATATGAAAAAGAAACATCTTAAAAATAAATCTTACAAATAAAAGATAATAGAAATAATAATAGAAATAAAATAAATCACTGATTTGTTATTTTATTTCTATTATTATTTCTTTATTTTTACTTACGTGACTTTACCGAAAAAACCTAAGAGTATGAATCCTTGCAGTCACGACAGCTTCAAATCTAGAATTTTAAAGTGGCTGCGAAAACAGAAAAATCCAGGAAAAAACAGCAAAAAATGTTTAGCGGCAGCCAAATAATCTTAAACGCGTTGTGATGTTGATTCTAAATGTGGAAGGAGAAACCTGAGGACCCGGGAGAAAAATCCAAGCGACCACGGAGAAAAATTCAAACTCCAAATACACAGCAGCAGCAGTCAGGGTCGGGAGCGAACCCCGTGACCTCCTGTGTACCAGGCGAGGTAGTCAACATCTCGCCATCTACACACAACGTGGTTGGGGGCTCTTGGTGGCTGTAAAAAAAAGTTGGCTAAGCCGATTCTTACGTCTCGCAAGCCGTCAAATCGGGGTCGCGTGGCGGCAAGGTTATCCTGACGCGAAGAGGGAACGTAAAAAAAATAACCCGTAAAAACAAAGTTTTTCACTATAAATCCTTTATATGCGTGTTCAATGGGCCACAACCCAGCCCACATTGGTCTTTGAAACGGGCGGCTAGAGTCCTCTCGTCCTCTGGCTTGAGATGGCTGCCACCTATGGGTCAGATGATTGTCTGCCAGCATTAAGCAATTGGTAATTAAATATTTTAAAAAATTCCCTGAACAGTGTAACATTTTGGAATTTTTTTTCACTAAAATTAATTGTCACGCAAAACGAGTTTGTGTGGAAAATGTCAGCTCGATTGGATCACGGGAAGTGGGTTAAAAACGACCGAAAGATTTGCACGGTCGTAAGCAAACAAGCACGCAAGCACGCAAGCAAGCAAGCAAGCGAACTTAATATAAAGGATTTAAAAACCCATCCGGGATGAGCAATTAAGGACGAGGGCAGGCATCAGAATTCGTGAACCCGATCAGACGCAGATGGGGTGAACACGCGAGTTCAATGCTGCAAGCTTGCCACTGTCTTGTTAGCACAGTACGTGTGCGACTGAGTTTCGGTTTTCAATGTTTTGAATTTTCAAATACAATTTCGGGTCTTGTTCGCATTATTTCCGTTAGATTGTAATGAAAAATATCTTCTTGCCAACAATAGTGACGTCGCCCAAGGCCACTTGACACCACTTGTGGCAGGAAATTCGCGAAAGTGACGCCGTTATTAAATTAACTGATGGTTTTTGGATCAATTAAACTTTTTTTTGGTATCATCCTAAATTTCGTGTCTGGGCCTAACTTTCGGATTTCGTGAATTAATCAAAAAATTGGGAGCATGTCCCTGCCTTGATTCACATCCATGGTGTTCCTCCAGTTCTCGGTGGCGAGATATTAACTACCTCGCCTGGTATACAGGGGGTAGTGGGTTCTATCCCGACCCTGACGCCTGCTGCTGCTGCTGTATATTTGTAGTTTGCGTGTCTCTCTCTCTACCCCTGGTCGCGTGGATTTTTCTCCGGGTTTTCCTCCACATTTACAAACGTGCGCTTTGAGTATTTGGCTGCTATAAATTCCCACGTGATATGCCACTGCGTTGAGCTATCCCAATTAGAGTCATTTGCAGACGATGTCTCTCGGCATTTCCATGCGATTTGTCCACTTCCTGTTCCACTGTGGGTGTAGGTTTAGCTGTGTTTGCGAGGATTTTTCTCTGGGTCCTCTGGGCTTTCCCTCCGCATTTAAAAACATGCATTGAGATTAGTAATTGGCTGCTATAAATTTCCACATAATAAACCACTTTCTCGAGCTATCATTTATGGCCAGGTCGCTTCTGAAAAAGAGCTAAAAGCTCGGTGGACCTTACCTGGTCAAATAAAAAATTGAAAATAGTAATAGTTATTCCCATCCTGAAATAAGACACAAATTATACCCCAACATCTCCACACCCAGCAGTAAAAAACGGTTACAGCACAGTTGGTCGATTGGTGTCGGTTACTCCCACCTCTGCCAACACGTGTGGCTGATATGGAAGAGTAGGCCAACTACAGTCTAGAGGGGCTCTAGAGCTTTCTCCAGCGAAGGCTTTTCCGCTGTTAGTGGCAGGAGCAAGCAATTGCATCACTTTACCTCTGTGAAGCTTTACTATAGGAGTCTTTAAATAAATATATGATGTGCTGTGGTCTGTGTTCAACTAATCACCTTAGGTTTGGCATGATACTCTGAAGGTTGACTTGGCTTGGTATCATTCCTCTGGGGTCATTGGAGTGAGCACCACTTTGTGTGGGAAGTCAGCGGTGGTCATTCTTCAACGTGTAGAGAGAATGGCCCTCGGAAAATGTTGACTTTTCACCACTGGCTTGGGGCCTGCCGCCAGTGCTGAGAAGTGATGCAGCTCCATTGCCAAAACAAGTGTAGGGGCTTCTGGCAGAGGTCGCAAACGGGTTTTGATTCCTTACCCGTACCCATACCCGGCCGCACCAGGGTCGCAAACGGGTACCCGTACCCGTACCCTACCCGGCTACCCGTACCCGGCCGGGTATCGTGTAGGGTACGGTTACGGGTACCGATTGCGACCTCTGGGATGAAGCCATGTTGCAGGCGCGGGTGGGTTGATTCTAGGAACTAGAATTGTGAGAAGAGACAAGACGTTGGGAAATGAGTGACAAACGGTGACTCACCAGTTACTCACGGCTTACCCGTACCCGTACCCGGCCGGGTACGGGTAGCCGGGTATCGGGTAGGGTACGGGTATCGGGTACCCAATTGCGACCTCTGGCTTCTGGTCTTGCAATGGGGTTCAAATCCGGCAACAGAGTTGACTCGGGCTTGTTATCACCGCTGTGCGCATCATCCCTCTGGTACGAGTAGAACGGCCACCGCCGAATGGATGGAATGAATGCATGGTTCTAGATTTGAGGCTTTCGTGACTGCAAGGATTCATACCCTTAGGTTTTTTGGTAAAGTCACGTAGGTAAAAATAATAATAATCATCAGGTGTAACTGCTTCAGTAAAAATTGTACCACGCTACAGTAATTTTACTGGAGCAGTTACACCTGATGACGGAGGCTTGTGTTGCTTCCGAAACGTCGTGATTTAATTTAGTTATTTTCATTTATTATAATATTTTTTTTACCTACGTGACTTTACCGAAAAAAACCTAAGAATATGAATGCATGGTGCTTGCGTTTAAATCAGGATAGGCTGGGATCCTTTACAAAAAATGTTTGCGGGTCGGCGCGAATGTTTGACCGACAGAAGCGATCTGCCACCGGTTCTCGCATTGCAGAATGTGCGGACGAGGAGCAGCGATCGTAGCGGAGTTGCACGCGGTGGGCCCGGTGGCACGGTGACACGGTGACACGGTGACGGGGGGAGACGGGGCCACCCCCAGGGACAGCGGCTCGTGGGAGTGACGTCGGGAGCGGTCTCCCGTTGCGTCTCCACAGTGCACCACCTTGAGCAACACGATGTTTGCGACCCAAAAAAGAAGGAAAGTTACCTTGTCAATCTCACGTTTTTCCCCAAACGTCAAATATTTTGCAACCGAAAATTTAACAAATTATTTGGCGTTGCTGCCGCCGCTGCTATTGCATTGGCAGCGCTGAACAAGCACAATTAACTAAACATTCAACACAGTCAATAATACCGACCTTCAAAAGAAAAAGTGTATAATTAATCTAAATTAACATTTTATTAGTTGATTTGATATCTTCGCTTCTCTCCCCCTCAAATATAACATCTTGAAAGTCCCGCTCTTTGACATTCGCGTGAATTGTGGTTTTTCAAAAAAAAAATCTATCACCTTATCAAAGTGTTTGTAGATTCCTTTTGCGACTCATCTGAGTTTTTTTTTCTTCTGTTCAGCCTATTGCACATGTTTTAAATAACAAAAACTACAATCGCTATTCGAAAATGTTGAAGACATAAGGGATAACTTAGTTTTTTAAATAAAAACCATTAATAAAGATGTCTAACATTTTATAATTGCAATAATTAAATGGCATTTGTATACAAATGCATATACAACATGTAATTGTTTTAAACAGCACATACTTTTGATTAAATATGAATTTTATTTGAAATATCTTGGTGTAAAAAAACATTTTTCCAGATGCAGCTTTTTCAATTTCCTTCATTTGATGGAATCTTAACTCAAGATGTCATCAAATTAGTTAAATTGCATTTACGATGTATCAGCCTCTTCAATGGACATATTCCATTTAAATATAATAATCAATAGCAACCCACAACAGAACACGAGCAGCAGCAACATTGGTTGCAGCGTTAACAGTAACAGCAATTAGCAGCAATACCAACAACATCACTGACAACAGCAGCAGCAGCATCGTCAACATTGACAATTGCATCTTCGGCAGTGTCGCTGCAGCCTCAGCAGCGGTGAATGCAACAGTAGTGGCAGCAACAGCACCATCCGCCGCCAATGCAACAGCAGAACTGTAACGGCAGCGATATCAGCAATTGCAGCAGCATTCATCATCATCATCGTCAGCATCAACAAGTCGGACCGGCATCGCAAACGGCAGCAGTACTTTCAGCCCCAAAAACATCAGTTACCGTCGACGGCATTGACCCCATTAACAGCAGCAGCAGCAGCAGCCTAATGTGCAATCGTTAACTGCAATCGAAGCGGTGACATCAAGGGAAACGTTCGCTGCGACGAGAGAGAGAGAGGAGCGACAGCGATGTCGGGGGAGGGCGTGCGGGGGATGAGCGTGGAGATGCTCGCGTCCATGCTGGAGAGGGCGGTTCTTGGTGGCAAGGTGGTGGACTCAAGCGGCCGCGGTTGTGGCGGCGGGGGCGGCGGCGCTTGCGAATGCGGCGACGTTGGCGGCGCCGGCAACGACGACATTGCCGACGTCAACAATAGCGGGGTTGATTTTTTTGGTGTTTTCGGCGATGCCGGTGGCGGCGGCGGCGGCGGCGACGATCCTGCAGCTGACGGCGTTAATAGTCCCGCTGACGTTGCCGATGGTCATGCCGAACGTGTTGCCAATCGCGCAAATAGCGTGCCAACCCTGCTCGTGATCGACGGGCGAACTTTCGCCGAGTTCAACAGCTGCCACGTGGCGTCGGCGCTCAACGTGTGCTGCTCCAAGCTGGTGCAGCGGCGGCTGCAGCAGGACAAGGTGTCCGTGTTGGAGCTCGTGCAGCACGCGGCAACGAGCGGGTCTCAGGTGCGCTGACGGAGCTTTCGTGCTCCCCTTGTGTTGAAGAACTCTTCGCGCCTACGGATGCACGGTCGCTCTGTCTCCTCTGAGTGTAGGGGGTCGGCAACCAAAGTAACAAGGAGACTACTTTTTTAGAATTTGGTCAAACAAAACCTCAATATTTCAAGAGCCGCAATGCAAGTGGTGATTACGAGACGGTGTGCTGCTTAATAAATAACGTCACGAAGCGGTCCTTAATGAGCCGCATGCGGCTCTGGAGCCGAGAGGTTGCCGTGCCCTGCTTGAAAGTGTAACAAGTAAACCCGTAAAAACAAAGTTTTTCACTATAAATCCTTTATATGCGTGGCATCGGGGCGGCTAGAGTCCTCTCGTCCTCTGGCTTGAGATGGCTGCCACCTATGGGTCAGATGATTGTCTGGCAGCATTAAACAATTGGTAATTAAATATTTAATTTTCTTTTCCCTAAACAGTGTAAAATTTTGGAATTTTTTTTCACGAAAATGCATTGTCACGCACAACGAGTCTGTGTGCAAAATGTCAGCTCGATTGGATCACGGGAAGTGGGTTAAAAAAACGACCGAAAGATTTGCACGGTCCTAAGCAAGCAAGCAAGCGAACTTAATATAAAGGATTTAAAAACTGAATGAAGTTGAAACGCTTTTTAAATGGCTTCCCGCAAGGGGGCAGCAAAAGAGCTGTAAGGGGTCAGCCAAAGAGCCGCATCTTGGTGGATGTGTAGAGTGTGCAGAGTGTGCGGAGTGTGCAGCGTTGGCCGAGCGGTGTTTGTGGTCACGCAGGTGGAGGCCGGTGGGCGCGTCGTGGTGGTGGTGTACGACCAGCGCTCGCCGTCCGCTGCATCGCTGCCGCCCCACGGCTTCGTGTCCGTGCTGCTGGGGAAGCTCCGTCGGACGTTCTCCGACGTCTACCTCCTCAATGGTGAGAATCCCCTCATCCTAAAAGAGCAAGGCAGTCTGTGGAGTAACTCGATTTGCAACGTGGCGACGTGCTGGCGTGACGTTGTCGTGCGATTTCGTTGGGCCATTTGGAGCCGGGTCCAAAAAACACAAATGGGGGCCGGTAAGGAAGAATCTGTGTGGCTGCCGAATATGGGGACTGAACGCTCACTGAGAGCGTAAATAAGCAACGAAGCGTGCACATTAGACCGGCCAACCGGCCCCTGAATGGACCGGCCCACCGGGCATTGTCCCTATGGACTGCTGCCCTCTGGCCAGTCCGGTCCTGGCTGTGCTTCACAGGCTCAGTCTGCAGTCGCTTCGCCCCAGGGGCCGATGATTGCTTTGTGTTCTCACAGTTTGGTGATTTGCGGGTAATTTCCGCTAACTTTGCGGGTGGCTGTTGGGTAATTATCTCGCTGTGGGTTCGTTTGCTTGGCAGACAAGCGCCATGAATGGGAGGCCTGGAATCGCCCACAAGGTGGCAGTCATGTCCACGTGGGCAAGTCAACAGTGGTTATCCTGTGGATTGCCTGCCTCCACCATAGGAATTAAGATTATCTATAATGGACTCAAGGCTGCAATAAGGGTGGGGATTAGCACTACCTCAAATTATTTTGGAGCAAGAAATCGCCGAATTTTTTGCGTTGTTGAAAGCAGAATTTTGTGTGTGTATCTGTGTGTATGGGGAGTGGTGGTGTAGCGGTTAGCGCGCTGCGCTACGAACCCGGCGACTCAAGTTCGATTCCTGCTCACGGCCAACACCAGTAACAAATATCTGAACCGGTCCTGGGCCTCCCCTAGGTCGACTCAGCCTCAAATGAGTACCCAGTGCAGTGTTGAAACATCGCCACAAGGGAGACAAAGGCGGCCGGGCGTGGTGTTCGCCACCCCACCCGCCTCGTGTACCGTTCCGGCCTTCATAGGTACTGCTTGCTAGCAGCACTTGCCCCAACAGTCTGTTAAGGCTATACGGGGGGGGGATCTTTGTCTTTGTGTGTGCGCTGCATGTGTGCAGGTGGATTTGCTGCATTTCAGCTGCTGTTCCCGCAGCTGTGTGAGAACGCTAGCCGCGTGGACACTCGCACGCCACCTCTTGCGCAGCCCGTGTCCAGCCCTTCGTTGCACCTTCGCGACACTGGTCCGACCTGCATCTTGCCCTACCTCTACCTCGGCTCTCAGCGTGACGTCCTCAACAAGGCAAGTGGCTGAAAACCTCACTCATGAATGTAAACGAGACAGACCTCTGGAGCACCTTGATTAGGAATGCTGCCTTGGTGTTGGCGATATCCTGACATATTTGGTCATTGGCTGTGTTGGGTGGAGTAGGCTTTACGGCACACATATTACTTACGCGACATGACACATTAAATTAAATACGAATCGAAGTGTTGGTCGGGAATGCCCGCATGTTAGTAAACTCATCCACTTTCCTGTATCCTCGCCATACATAATCAGAATATTTATTTATAGTGCAGGAATCCGATGAGCTATGAAGCTATTTTTAAATCCTTTATATTAAGTTCGCTTGCTTGCTTGCTTGCCTGCTTTCGTGCTTGCTTGCTTGCTTAGGACCGTGCAAATCTTTCGGTCGTTTTTTAACCCACTTCCCGTGATCCAATCGAGCTGACATTTTGCACACAGACTCGTTGTGCGAGACAATTAATGTTCGTGAAATTTTTTTCCCAAAATTTTACACTGTTTAGGGAAAACAAATTAAATATTTAATTACCAATTGCTTAATACTGGCAGACAATCATCTGACCCATAGGTGGCAGCCATCTCAAGCCAGAGGACGAGAGGACTCTAGCCGCCACGCATATAAAGGATTTAGAGTGAAAAACTTTGTTTTTACGGGTTTACTTATTCACAGATGTTCAGTAGGGGCACCTTGTAAGAACGTTACAACAACGAAGAGTGCCAAAACACGGTAGTAGTGCAAAGTACGAGATAAGCAAACATATCACCCAAACGCAACTCAAACGAAACCATCCCCATCCTACCAGGCAATGCCCCACTGAGGTATCAACTTATTTTCAGAAGCGACCTGGCCACAAATGATAGCTCAACAAAGTAGGCCATCATTTGGACATTTATAGCGCCAAAATAATCTCAATCATCTCAATGCATGTTTTTAAAGGCAGAGGAAAAACCGGAGGACCTGGAGAAGAAATCCTCGAGACCACAGGGAGAACATGCAAGCTCCGAATATAGAGGAGTCGGGGGGTCGGGATCGAACCCCCGACCTCCCGCATCCTGGGCGAAGTAGTTAACATCAATTATAGATTCGAAGCTTTCGTGACTGCAAGGATTCATACTCTTAGGTTTTTTCGGTAAAGTCACGTAGGTAAAAAATAAAATAAAAAGTTAATAAAAGTAATAATGGAAATAAAATAAAATAATAAATCACATTTTTATTATTTTATTTCCATTATTACTTTTATTAACTTTAAATTTTATTTTTTACCTACGTGACTTTACCGAAAAAACCTAAGAGTGTAGTTAACATCACACCACCGTGGCCCAATTGTTGACAATAAGAGTTACGCTGCGTCTTATTTCTCCAAACCTGAGAGTGTACACAGAGGCGTATGTATTTGTGCGTGCCTTGGTATTCACACAAAGGAAAGTGGTCACTACGAACCCGGCCACCCGAGTTAAATTCCCGCCCACGGCCGACACCATTGACGAATATCTGAACCGATGTTGGGCCTCCCCCAGATCGACTCAGCCTTAAACGAGCACCTTGTGCGGTGTACCAACGTCAGCATAGTGGAGACAATGTCAGCTGTGCGTGGTGCTGGCCATCCACATGCCTTCGTGTGGCGTGCCGGTCTTAACAAGTGCTCGCAAACAGCAGCACTTGGCCCCAACGGTCTTATAAAGGCTATACAGGAGGGGATCTTTGTCTTTATACTCTTAGGTTTTTTCGGTAAAGTCACGTAGGTAACATAATAATAATAAAATAAAAATTTATGAAAAGAACTAAATTAAACCACGACGTTTCGGAGGCAACACAAGTCTTCGTCTTCAGGTGGGACCGTCGCAGCTAAATTTACTGTATTAAGTGAAGAGAAATCCAAGAGACAAGATCTTATATACTGGTTAAGGGGAGGGGGGAGGAGCTTATCTACATGTGTCAGTCAGGGACTGGGAGGGTGGGGCTAGAAGGGAAGGTGGGCGGGGCTAGAAGGGGGGGTGGGGCGGGGCTAGAAGGGAAGGTGGGCGGGGCTAGAAGGGGGAAGTGGGCGGGGCTAGAAGGGGGAAGTGGGGCGGGGCTAGAAGGGGGAAGTGGGCGGGGCTAGAAGGGAAGGTGGGCGGGGCTAGAAGGGGGAAGTGGGCGGGGCTAGAAGGGGAGGTGGGCGGGGCTAGAAGGGGGAAGTGGGCGGGGCTAGAAGGGAAGGTGGGCGGGGCTAGAAGGGGAGGTGGGCGGGGCTAGAAGGGGGAGGGTGGGCGGGGCTAGAAGGGGAGGTGGGCGGGGCTAGAAAGGGAGGTGGGGCGGGGCTAGAAGGGGAGGTGGGCGGGGCTAGAAGGGGGAAGTGGGCGGGCTAGAAGGGGGAAGTGGGCGGGGCTAGAAGGGGAAGTGGGCGGGGCTAGAAGGGGAGGTGGGCGGGGCTAGAAGGGGGAAGTGGGCGGGGCTAGAAGGGGGAGGTGGGCGGGCTAGAAGGGGGAAGTGGGCGGGGCTAGAAGGGAAGGTGGGCGGGGCTAGAATGGAAGGTGGGCGGGGCTAGAGGGGAAGATGGGCGGGGCTAGAAGGGAAGGTGGGCGGGGCTAGAGGGGAGAGGGGGCGGGGCTAGAAGGGTAGGAGGTGGGCGGGGCTAGAAGGGGAAGGTGGGCGGGGCTAGAAGGGAAGTGGGCGGGGCTAGAAGGGAAGTGGGCGGGGCTAGAAGGGAAGGGGGCGGGGCTAGAAGGGAGGGGGGCGGGGCTAGAAGGGGAGGGGGGCGGGCTAGAAGGGGAGGGGGCGGGGCTAGAAGGGGAGGGGGCGGGGCTAGAAGGGAAGTGGGCGGGGCTAGAAGGGAAGGCGGGCGGGGCTAGAAGGGGAGGGGGCGGGGCTAAAGGGAAGTGGGCGGGGCTAGAAGGGGAGGTGGGCGGGGCTAGAAGGGGAGGGGGGGGGCTAGAAGGGGAGGTGGGCGGGGCTAGAAGGGAAGGTGGGCGGGGCTAGAAGGGAGGTGGGCGGGGCTAGAAGGGGAAGGTGGGCGGGGCTAGAAGGGAAGGTGGGCGGGGCTAGAAGGGAAGGTGGGCGGGGCTAGAAGGGAAGGTGGGCGGGGCTAGAAGGGGAAGTGGGCGGGGCTAGAAGGGAAGGTGGGCGGGGCTAGAAGGGGAGGTGGGCGGGGCTAGAAGGGGAGGTGGGCGGGGCTAGAAGGGGAAGGTGGGCGGGGCTAGAAGGGAAGGTGGGCGGGGCTAGAAGGGGAAGGTGGGCGGGGCTAGAAGGGGAGGTGGGCGGGGCTAGAAGGGAAGGTGGGCGGGGCTAGGGGGAAGGTGGGCGGGGCTAGAAGGGGAAGGTGGGCGGGGCTAGAAGGGAAGGGGCGGGGCTAGAAGGGAAGGTGGGCGGGGCTAGAAGGGGAAGGTGGGCGGGGCTAGAAGGGAAGGGGGCGGGGCTAGAAGGGGAAGGGGGCGGGGCTAGAAGGGAAGGTGGGCGGGGCTAGAAGGGGAGGGGGGCGGGGCTAGAAGGGAAGGGGGCGGGGCTAGAAGGGGAAGGGGGCGGGGCTAGAAGGGGAAGGTGGGCGGGGCTAGAAGGGGAAGGTGGGCGGGGCTAGAAGGGAAGGTGGGCGGGGCTAGAAGGGAAGGTGGGCGGGGCTAGAAGGGAAGGTGGGCGGGGCTAGAAGGGAGGTGGGCGGGGCTAGAAGGGAAGGTGGGCGGGGCTAGAAGGGAAGGTGGGCGGGGCTAGAAGGGAAGGTGGGCGGGGCTAGAAGGGAAGGTGGGCGGGGCTAGAAGGGAAGGTGGGCGGGGCTAGAAGGAAGGTGGGCGGGGCTAGAAGGGAAGGTGGGCGGGGCTAGAAGGGGAAGGTGGGCGGGGCTAGAAGGGAAGGTGGGCGGGGCTAGAAGGGAAGGTGGGCGGGGCTAGAAGGGAAGGTGGGCGGGGCTAGAAGGGAAGGTGGGCGGGGCTAGAAGGAAGGTGGGCGGGGCTAGAAGGGAAGGTGGGCGGGGCTAGAAGGAAGGTGGGCGGGGCTAGAAGGGAAGGTGGGCGGGGCTAGAAGGGAAGGTGGGCGGGGCTAGAAGGGAAGTGGGCGGGGCTAGAAGGGAAGTGGGCGGGGCTAGAAGGGAGGTGGGCGGGGCTAGAAGGGAAGGTGGGCGGGGCTAGAAGGGGAAGGTGGGCGGGGCTAGAAGGGGAAGTGGGCGGGGCTAGAAGGGGGGGGGCGGGGCTAGAAGGGGAGTGGGCGGGGCTAGAAGGGAAGGTGGGGGGGGCTAGAAGGGAAGTGGGCGGGGCTAGAAGGGAAGGTGGCGGGGCTAGACGGGAAGGTGGGCGGGCTAGATAGAAGGGGAAGTGGGCGGGGCTAGAAGGGAAGGTGGGCGGGGCTAGAAGGGAAGGTGGTCGGGGCTAGAAGGGAAGTGGCGGGGCTAGAAGGGGAGGTGGGCGGGGCTAGAAGGGAAGGTGGGCGGGCTATGAAGAGGAAGTGGGCGGGGCTAGAAGGGAAGTGGGCGGGGCTAGAAGGGAGGTGGGCGGGGGCTAGAAGAGGACGTGGGCGGGGCTAGAAGGGAAGGTGGGCGGGGCTAGAAGGGGAGGTGGTCGGGGCTAGAAGGGAAGGTGGGCGGGGCTTAGAAGAGGGAAGGTGGTCGGGGCTAGAAGGGACGGTGGGCGGGGCTAGAAGAGGAAGGTGGGCGGGGCTAGAAGGGAAGGTGGGCGGGGCTAGAAGGGGAGGTGTGTCGGGGCAGAAGGGAAGGTGGGCGGGGTAGAAGAGGAGGTGGTCGGGGTAGAAGGGAAGGTGGGCGGGGCTAGAAGGGAAGGTGGGCGGGGCTAGAAGGGAGGTGGGCGGGGCTAGAAGGGAGGTGTGGCGGGGCTAGAAGGGAAGGTGGCGGGGCTAGAAGGGAAGGTGGCGGGGCTAGAAGGGAAGGTGGGCGGGGCTAGAAGGGAAGGTGGGCGGGGCTAGAAGGGAAGGTGGGCGGGGCTAGAAGGGAAGGTGGGCGGGGCTAGAAGGGAAGTGGGCGGGGCTAGAAGGGAGGTGGCGGGGCTAGAAGGGAAGTGGGCGGGCTAGAAGGGAGGTGGCGGGCTAGAAGGGAGGTGGTCGGGGCTAGAAGGGAAGGGGCGGGTCTAGAAGGGGAGGTGGGCGGGGCTAGAAGAGGGGTCAAGTGAAGAACCTCCACAGGGATTACGGCCGATGTTGGCTTCCAAAACCAATTTTATTTTATTATTATTTTTTTTACCTACGTGACTTTACCGAAAAAACCTAAGAGTATGAATCCTTGTCTTTGTGTGCAACCCCCCCCCCCCCCCGCATGCTCACCGCAGGAGGTGATGCTGCAGAGCGGCATTACACACGTGCTGAACGCGAGCGTCGGCTGCCCGCGACCGGACTTCATCCCCGAGGGGAACTTCCTGCGCGTGCCGGTGCACGACAGCTACTGCGAGAAGATCCTGCCCTGGCTCGATTGCACGGCAAACTTCATCGGTGAGCACGTGACCCACATCTCGCCCCCCCCACTAATAAAAAAAAATCATGACCCTTAGTGCGGCTCGGCTGGATGGCATATCTCATGCGGCACAGTGGCGAGATGTTAACTCCCTCGCCTGTTATACAGGAGGTTGTGGTTTCGATCCCGGCCCTGACGCCTGCTGTATATTTGGAGTTTGCGTCTCTCTCTCTCACTCTTGTCATCATCACGGTGGCTAGGAGATGTTAACTACCTTGCCTGGTATACAGGAGGTTGTGGTTTCGATCCCGGCCCTGACGCCTGCTGTATATATGGAGTTTGCATGTCTCTCTCTCTCCTCGCGTGGTTTTTCTCTCCGGGTCCTCCAGTTTTCCCCTCCACATTTAGAATTAATGTCGCTGCTATACATTTCTATGTGATAAGCCACACGGTTGGGCTATCATTCTGGCCAGGTCGCTTCTGAAAAAGAGCTATATAGCTCCGTGGGCCTTACCTGGTACATGTTGTTTATGTCGTTTATTGTGAAATTTTGGTCACAGTTCCTATGATCACTGTTACATTGCTTTTATGGCTTTATTTTGGTGATTTCGAAAAAAAATTGGTTTGGCCATGTTTGTTTGTTGTAGTACGGAGTGTGGTTGTTGTTGTTGTTGTTTGACTTGCATCCCACTGGGATTTTTGCACACAGCGTTGGTGTACGGTGCTTTTTTTCTGGAAGACTTTGCAGTTTTTTCCTGGATTTTTCTTTTTGCGCATAGTCACTTTAAGATGTTTCCTTGTTCATGTTTTTGTTTTTTGTTTGTTGCGGTTGCACCCGATTCAAGAGAGCCGAATGGCTCACAGGGCTATACCAAATAAATGAAACTGAAATGAAACTGAAAACCTGGTAAGATAAAAAATAGTTTAAATTTACTTTAAATGTCATGGCCGATGCAAAGTGCGAGTGCTCACATGAGTTCTGGAGGTCCCGACTGCCCGGTGCTTTTCAGCGGTGACACGCGCACGCACAGCCTCAATCCTAGTCGATGTCAGAATCCGAATCGGCAAATATTTATTAGTACTGGAGGAATCCAACGAGCGAGAAGCTCTTTTTTATCCGCAGACTTCCAGTAGGGGCACGGGCTCAGAGCGTTACAGCAACAAACAATACGAAAACACGCTGGGAGCGCAAAGTATATGAAACGTAAACAAATCGCTTAAAATATATATTCGTGTGTGTCTGCGTGTGCGTGCCTGGCTGCCCCTCCCTCCCCCCACCACACGACCCGCTTTGCGCTCTTAGAGGGCGTGCGTGAGCGCGGGAGCCGCGTGCTGGTCCACTGCCTCGCCGGGATATCGCGCTCGGCCACCGTTGCGATCGCGTACGTCATGCGCTGCAAGCGCCTCTCATCGGACGACGCCTACAGGTCCTGCCGACTCACCCCGCTCGCTCCGCCCCCCTCCCGCCCTCACCGCCTCCCCCACGTACCCCCCTCCACTCGCTCACCAATCCGTTTATTACTCACCTGATGGCTGGCTCACTCGCCCACGCTCGTACTCGTTGATGACGAGCGTCGCGTGGGTTGAAGACATGGAGGGAAATTAGGTGGGTATTGTGACTTCCCTGGCTGGTGAGTTTTTGTAAGAGACGGCCGTTCAACTCTGCCCAAAGCGTTACTTTTATGCAGGCGTCGATTTTTGGTTTGTTCGCTCCGTGAAATGTATCGCGGCATTTTGTCTTGGGTAAAATGAGATTGGGGCTGTTGAGCATGTTATGGGGGGAAGAGCGTGGTACGTGGTTGGCAGGCTCAGGCGGTGGTTAACGGCACTAGCAACACATTTCAGCGGGCACCAGACATTTATGTATGGTTATAAACAAGCAACTGTGTACCTTTGCATGGAAAAAGAACGAGGAACAGGAAAGGGAATATAGAATCAGAATCTTTGTTTTAGACTGGAAGAATCCGACAAGCCATGAAGGTATTTTTCACGGATGTCCATTAGGGGCACGGGGTCAGAAGGTTATACCAACAAACACGGTAGGAGTGCAAAGTAGAGAAAAGATAAACAAGTTACTAAATACAAATTAAAAAAAGTGTATCAGTACAAATTGTACAAGTACATGAATTCATGCCGAGAGAGTGACAGGGAAATAAGAGGAAAAATTACGGATGAGGAACGGACAAAAACAGGAGTGGTGGGTCAGGAGAGATGGGGATAGGGAAGACGAGGCTGGGCAAGGGCCTCGACGCTGTCCGGAGCAGCGTGTCTTCACAGGGGAGAGGGGAGGGATTCAGATTAGAAGTGGCTACACACAAGGCACGTGATGTACGGCAAGGCTCGAGCCGATTTAGACGAATAAATGTCCGTGTAAACATCCGCCCTCTCCATTCAGTGTATATCTCGAGCGCCTTCCAGCAGCAAACTCGCTGTCCTGTTAAGTTCAGTTTAGCGCAGGGAGGAAGATTCTCGGCGCGTCACACGTCGACAGGAGCTGACGCTCGGTGCTCTGTGTGTATGTGTGTAGGTTTGTAAAGGAGAAGCGCCCATCGATTTCACCCAACTTCAACTTCCTGGGGCAGCTGCTGGAGTACGAGCGTGAGCTGGGCACAAACCTCCACGTCCAGCAGCAGCAACAGCAGCAGCAGCAGCACCAGCAGCAGCAACAGCACCAGCAGCAGCAAGTCCATCAACAGCAGGAGCAACAGCAACATTCCTCACACACATTGCACAGAACACAATTTCAGCATTACCTACAACTGCACCAGCAGCAGCAGCAACAGAAACTCCACGGGCAGCTGCGGCAGCAAACGTCGCTCCAGACGCAGCTGCCGCACAGCGGGCAAAGCCCGTTGCCTTGCCAACAGCAGCAGCAGCATCAGCAGAAGTCGAACCAAGAACCGCGGTCAGCAGCGTCGACGTCGACTTGGTCAGGGCAGCTCGGTCAGCGGCCCGGCACAGCGGGCGCCTCGACGGCGACGGCGCGGGGGGGCGACGCGGACGCTGCAGGCGACGGCGCCGCTCTGTGCTCACGACGCGAGTGGGGCGGGGAGGGGGAGCCAGCAGCAGCGGCGGCGGCGGCGGCCCTCTGCCTCGACATCCACTTGCCCGTGACCCCCTCGACGTTTGCGCAGCCGCAGAAGCGAAAGCAGCCAACGACGAAGCATTTCTCGCCAGTCATGGAGAACCCGGATTCGCCACTCGAGAGGACAGAGAGCGCCGAGCCCAGCGCGGACACGCGCGTGAGCACGCAGCCACCGATGGGCACGGAGACGCCGACGGGCGCGTGGTGTGAAGAGGCAAGCGGGCGCACACGCGGGCAAGCGGGTGGAAGCGAATGAGCGAACGCGAGACTCCGCGGAGCCACGTTTGCCGAGCGCTCCGATCCAGAGGAGCTGCAGCGTGGAGGACTACCTCGCCACGGGGCTGTTGCTGGGCATCACGTCCGGCGCGCACGGACAGCCGTGCCTCCACCAGCATTTGCTGCAACACCGCTACTACTACCGCCAGCTCGGCCTGTGGGCCCACGCGCCGTCCGTGCCCTCGCTGACTGGGCCGTGGGATCCCAAAGTGGAGCTCCGCCGGAGGGACAAGGTGCGCTTGTGTGTTAGCGCGTAGCCTTTGTAAAGAACAGTGTTGACCGCATTCCGATTCCTCACTCTGACCACAACCATAGCCTTCAATATTCTAATTATTTTTATTTTACTAGATAAGGCCCACTGAGCTATATAATACCTATTTGTCAGACGCAACCTGGCCACAAATGATAGCTCAACGACGCGGCTTACTATCATGTGGAAATTTATAGCAGCCAAATACGCTAAACGCGTGATGCTGATTATAAATGTGGAGGTACAAACTGGAGGACCTGGAGAAAAATCCACGCGACCACAGGGAGAACATGCAAACTCCAAATATACAGGCGTCAGGGTCGGGATCGAACCGACGACCTCCTGCATAATATAACTTGCGCACCACCGATAGTTCACGTACAGACTCCTCTCTTCTGCTTGTGACTGACTTTCAACCGTGAACCTGATCTGGTTTTAACCATACTGGCACGTGTTGTCGACCGCCTGTGCACTCCAATCATTGTGCTGGGCACGGTGGCCAGGATCACTCTTAGTTCATTGTTTTGGGAGGCTGGTGTTGGTGGATGGAACAGAGATTCGTTTGTGTCGCACACCTACCGTTAGGAAAGAGAGAGATTCCTGTCAGGAGAAATGCAGCTAGTCGGCTGCTGAACTGTGTTGACTCTTGAGTGTCATCCCCTTGTATGCGTGGGTTCTCTCCGCTCAGGTTTCCTCGGTAAGGGGTCGGGAAAACCTCACTGGGAGATTTTGTGAGGCCTCTTCTGTGGGTTAAACGATATTAGCAGGTCACACCCAAATGACGGGGGAGTGTTTGCCCAGTGGTTAGTGCACTGGTCTAAGCACCCAGCAACCCGAGTTCGATTCTCGGCCATGGGAAAAGATACCTAAATTGGGCCTGGGTCCCAAGTTCACAAAACCTGCACTGACGAGCGTGATGAAGCTTGGTTAAAAACCTTGATTTTCACACACAGCATCGGGACAGTGGCTTGACAAAAGGCCAGAGGTCGCAATCGGGTACCCGATACCCGTACCCTACCCAATACCCGGCTACCCGTACCCAGGCGGGTACGGGTACCCGTTTGCGACCCTGGTGCGGCCGGGTACGGGTAGGCCGTGAGTCACTGGTAAGTAACCGTTTGTCACTCATTTCCCAACGTCTTGTCTCTTCTCACAATTCAAGTTTCTAGAATCAACCCACCCGCGCCTGCAACATGGCTTCATCCCAGAGGTCGCAATCGGGTACCCGTACCTACCCGATTCCCGGCCGGGTACGGGTAGCCGGGTATCGGGTACGGGTAAGGGTACCCGATTGGGACCCTGGTGCGGCCGGGTACGGGTAGCCGGGTATCGGGTAGGGTACGGGTACGGGTACCCGATTGGGACCCTGGTGCGGCCGGGTACGGGTAAGGAATCAAAACCCGTTTGCGACCTCTGCAAAGGGCCTTAAATTAAATTCGTAGTTACTTGAACTTAAACCGTAACCCCTAACACGAACGCTTAACCATAGCCATGGTCAAACCGTGACATCTGTACCTCAACACCGCGTGTCCTGTTGTCCTCTCCCCCCACTTGCAGGCGTTGGACGGCCGCGGATCGCGCCGAAGCTGGCACGAGGAGACACTCCTTGAGAAGCAGCGGCTTGCCCGGCGCAGCTGCCAGATGGAGTTTGAGGGCTCGGCGCGCCTCTTCCTCGCCGCCGCCTCCTCCTCCTCGTCCTCCTCTGCCTCGTCCTCTGCTCCCAGCTCCACCTCGCCGCTTTCCGCGCACGACCCGATGCCCAAGCGCGCCAGCTTTTCCGGCAGCGCCGAGCTAGTCCAGGTGTCCTGAGGTTGGCGTCGGCTAAACTTTCGTCCGCCGATTTTCCCACCCGTGTTGGATCCCGATTGGCCGTGCACCGTCGATCAACTCTGCGTTTTAGCCCGATGCTTGGCCCCGATCACCCCCTCCGGCTTTCAGCTTCTCCCTCCTGCAAATCCTGCTCACGGAGTGGCGAGCGGATGGCCTTGAAGCGTCCACGCGGGAGCGGCCGTCGATCAGCCCGAGGACCTCGCGGCGACGGTCGGAGAGGATCCGCACGTTGCCTTAATGCATCGGGGGACTGACCATCCTCGAATTAATTTGCGTATCCCGAGATTGAATAGCTGTGCCGTGACCGCAGCGGTTGCCTTTGCACAAAAACTCTGCTTGTGCGGATGGAACGTCACGTGATCGATTACGTTTTTTCGGAATTTAGCCACTTGTTCTGATCATCTAGCGATCGTTTGCTTTGTCTGTGCTGCACCGTCGTTTTGCGTGCCCCTGTGGGGATGGGGGGGGTGGAAAGGGGGGCGCTCCTTGGCTGTGTGTGGCTGCGTGTGGCTGTGTGTGGCTGCGTGTGGCTGTGTGTGGCCGCGTTTGCTGCTCCCCTGCACAGACCTCGACCGTTGCCCGAATTTCTATGGCGGTGGAGACTCCTCCAAGAGCCATCCCAGTGCGTCTTAACATCGCTGTTACTCTCCAACCTTGATATCTCGAGTAAACTTGTCCATTGACTGGGCTGTCGGTGGTTTGTTTAGCAACGCGCCATTATGTAAATGTGGGCAAATAAGGCGGTGTGTGCGTGTGTGCGTGTATGTGTGTATGCGTGTGTGCGCGAGCGTGATCGGTAGCTCTGCATCCGCTTAACAGCATTTGATAATAACGGAATGTCCCGTTTTTTTACGGTGAGGTTTTAGGCTTACCATCTTTAACCTGTGTGTCGTATTAGTTGTTGGGTTTTCTTTGTGTTTGCAGAGCTGCTGAATTTGCAATGCTGTAACTTTCCGAGCCCGTTTCTCCCCCGCTATTTTGTCGTCGATAGGTTAACCACGCGAAGAAATGGGCAGTTTTAACGACTGTGGTGACGTGAATATGGATGTAATTGCGGTAACCGGTATACACTTTAAATGCTGGAGATTGAGAGATGTACTTGCGAGTGTGTGATGGATGTTGGCATGTGGGGGGCACATCTCTGTGCTTTCTCACAAAGATGCGAATGACCCTTCTGTCGTCTCACTGCGTAACGCGAACGTGGAAGATCCCTGTCACTCACCCTTCTGACATTGAGATTTAAAATAAAATATGTCAACTTGTTGCGGACACGTGTAAGTCACGGTTGAGATTTTTGGATAACGTCAAAAAAGGCTGCGCATTAAAGCAATACAGTAAACCCTTGTTAAATTTCGATTTAAAGCTTTCGTGACTGCAGGGATTCATCTTCTTGGTTCTTTCGGTAAATTCTTCCCTTCTACGTGACTTTACTTGACTTTACCGAAAGAACCAAGAAGATGAAACCCTTGTTAATTCGATACATTTGGGGCTCTGGCCTTGCCGAATGATCCAATATCCCGAATTACGTACAATGGTACTCGCCAATGCCTCCTGCCCCAATTAAAAACAATTCTAAATTTGTTTTCCCAACGCTTCGCACACCATATGCATTGACACACACCCTGCATCAATTCTATCCAACACTTTGGATTTGTCTCTTATATTCTTGGGTTTTTTCGGTAAAGTCACGTAGGTAAAAAATTAAAATTAATAAAAGTAAAATAATAAAAAAATCACGACGTTTTAATTTTTTGTGTTGTCACCAAAATGTGATTTTTATTTTATTTTATTTTTTACCTACGTGACTTTACCGAAATAACCCAAGAATATGAATCCTTGCAGTCACGAAAGCTTCAAATCTAGAATTGTCTCTATTACTTCTGGATATAGGTTTGTAGACGACATTTCTGCGAGGGTTGGCTTGCACAGAGTGCACAAAGCGACGACGGCTCTGCACTACCGCTCACCACGTCCGCCGCCACTGGACCGACTCGTTACATCGGTCGTGGCGTGCGGCGTCGCTGCTCCACGTGCATGCCGACATTGGACCATTCGGCACGAGAATTCGGCTCGTCGCGAATTACAAATTCGCCAAAAGCGCAGCCGTGCCTGCTTATCCCCAATTACGGATGATCATATACCGAAATAACGAGGTTTTACTGTATTTAGATATATTTCACCGCTGACTACTGTTTGTACCCACAGCGATGGCACGCGCTTTCGCGTACGTTTACACACAATGCATTTGTCGCGCGAAAACTGGTGTCAAGGCGCCCTTCCCCCCTTCCAACCCAGCTTAAATAGACGCTCCAAGCATGGTGCTATTTCATTCAGACGCTGTCTCCCCGACAGACCTGGTCTTCACCTGAGGACGGCTGCTTGCGTTGTGGCCGAAACGTCGTGAGAATTATTTTATAATGTTTTATTTTATTATTTCCATTCTACGTGACTTTACCGAAAGAACCAAGAAGATGGTGAGTGCACGTCAGGGCCCTGTGTGATGCCGCGCTGATTGGCATGGTGAAGCAAAACGGGGTCCAAGCACCACCATCTGTCGGTGACTCCTTGGATTTAAATCAACTCGGGATGTGAGCTGATTTTTATTATTATTTCTGCAGCGTAGATTGAATTACTGTGAAAACGGTGTCTGGACTTGTGCCCCCACCCACCCACCCCCTGACATGCCGCACATGTCAGCGATCCAGCCGATAGGTAACTTTTTATTTTTACTTTATTCAATAATAATTAGAAATAATATTAATATAAATCCGTCAGTTGGTGTCCTTGTCATTTTTAATGGAGTAGGGAAGGGAAACTAAACTAAACTTTCTACTTTAACAGGTAAGGCCCCACTGAGCTATAGAGATTTTTTTCAGAAGCGACCTTGCCACAAATGATAGCTCTAAGAAGTGGATTATCATCACGTGCAAATTTGAAGGGTAAACCCGGAGACCCCGGAGAAAAAAAATCCTCGCGACCACGGGTCGAAAGAGTGAGTAAAACTCCAACTATACAGCAGGCATCAGGGTCGGGATCGAATCCACGACCTGCATACCAGGCGAGGTAATGAACATCTCACCACCGGCGGCTATTTCGCTCATCGGATTCCTCCAGTATAAATATTCTGATTCCATCACACGCAACGCGCACGCATAGTTACACCGACCGGAACAAAGAAACCCCCTAAACTCCTGAGCGCGCGTGTCACCGATGCCGTTGTTAGACAATCGCCGAGATAAATGTGTGAGGAGCAGATGGTGCCCATTGTGGGTTGTGGCGGGACGGGGGGCGGGGGATTGAATTCACAATCAAGAGGCACGGCCTCAAACTTTCTCTTATTGATGCGCGAACGTTAAGGGGGGAGGTGATGGTGGTGGTGGTGGTGGGAGGAGGAGGAGAAAGGGAGAGAAAGACTGAGAGATAGGGGTGTGGAGTGATAGGAGGAGGTGGGGGGGGGTGTGCAAGATGGTTACAAACAAAGGCAGCAAGTAGAGTGAAAGCGCGCACAGAGAGAGACAGGGGATGGGGGAGAGGGGCTTCTATTGTGTGTAGAGGGGGGGCGGGGGGGCTAAGTAATGGCACGTGAAGGCCCCTTGTCCAGCGTGCCACTAAATACCATGACGACGCATTCAGGGCGCTTTTCGTTGTTTACAGGACCATGTGTTCGCCACTGAATAGTCCTGGCACCGCGCGCACGCACGCACGCGTTGTGCGTTTAAGAGTATTTGGATGCTGCTATAAATGACCCAGAGTGTTTGCTTGTCTTGCACCAATGCTGCTGCTGCTGCTGTTGGAATAATGCACTCCCAGAAGAAAGTCGTGCGTGTGGCTGATGGGTCGTGTAAGAAATATTTCTGCTTTTTTTATCGTTTTCTAATAACATCTCACCACGGCGGTGAGATGTTAACTACCTCGCCTGGTATACAGGAGGTCGTGGGTTCGATCCTGACGCCTGTATATTTGGAGTTCGCGGTGTCTCTTTCCCTGTGGCCGCGTGCGTTTTTAATCGGGCCCTCCGTTTTTTTCCCTCCGCTTTTCGAATCAACGTGGGTTTGGAGTATATGGCTGCTATTGCATTTCTACGTGATAAGCCCACTTCGTTGAGCTATCATTTGTCATGGCCAGGTCGCTTCTGAAAAACAAGCTACGTTGCTCAAGTGGGCCTTAGCTGGTAAAAGAAAACATTAGTTTAGTTTTAGGTCCACTCGATATGTATGTGTCGTTCACTGCATTATTGCTGTATTTTAATAAGCGAGCTCTTTGAGGTTACGTGTCTGTCTTTGAGGTTACATGTCTACGGGATCTGTCTTTTCTCAAAGACGTCGGAGATCATGGCCTTACTTCCATTCAGTGCTGACCACATACAGAACCATAAACTGGCACTGAGACCCATAAACTCACACTGAGACCCATCGACTCACACTGAGACCCATTGACTCACAAAGAGACCCACGAACTCACATTGAGACCTATGGGCTCACATTGAGACCCATAGACTGAGACTCATAGACTCACACTGAGACTCATAGACTCACACTGAGACCCATAGACTCACACTGAGACCCTTAGACTCACATAGAGACCCACGAACTCACATAGAGACCTATGGGCTCACATAGAGACCCATAGACTCACACTGATACCCATGGACCTCACATAGAGACTCATAGACTCACACTGAGACTCACGTACTCACATAGAGACCCAAGGACTCACATAGAGACCCACAGACTCGCATAGAGACCCATAGACTCGCATAGAGACCCATAGACTCACATAGAGACCCATAGACTCATACTGAGACCCATAGACTCACACTGAGACCCACGGGCTAACACTGAGACCCACAGACTCGCATAGAGACCCATAGACTCACACCGAGACCCATAGACTCGCACTGAGACCCACGGGCTAACACTGAGACCCACAGACTCACACAGAGACCAATAGACTCACACTGAGACCCACGGGCTAACACT